ACTTTGAAAATCTTATCAGTTCTATATAAGAAAAATCCTCAAGTGAATTTTGTACTTTGTAGAACTGTCAAATAAAAGCCTTCCCATGCTTACTATTTACTTGTTGTCTTTTAGGTAATTTCTACAGAGCTGATGTTTTCAGAACATGTATGTCTTTTAATAGGGAAGATGATATGGAAAAACAGACCTTTGGAGAAGGGAATGTCATTCACTTAGTGAGAATTTTATTAAGTCATGAAAAAGATTAGGAGAACATTCTCACTCTTTCGTTATGGTACAAAGTGGAATTTTTCTCCAAACTATGTGTGTTAGGCATATGCATTTGGAGGAAAAATGCTAATTCTGCCTTTTGTCTAATGACTGTATAAAGGCCCTCCAAATACACTGAAAAGTCACTGTAATACTGTTCACTGAAGAGCAGAAATTAGTTTGAGGCAGGCCAATCCTGGACTTCATCCCAGAATGTGAAGTTACAGAGGCACTGAAAGGAACGACCTCATTTTAAGGTGTAGACTTCTTTCTACCCACAGACTTTAAGGTGACTGTCTTTGCGAGTGACTGGCTCTAAGTGCCTGGGTGTTGGCAATCACATCTGGATATAAAAACGTCAACATTGCCATTGCTCTAGATGGCTCTGAAAGTGGTCTCACGTACAGTGATCGCAGCACTACGAGTGCGCTGTCGCGATTACGCACTTGGGTGATTTTAAGAGAGCAGACACACACAGGAGTGAATCAAGATAATGCTTGATCCTTCCTAAGCAATGATACATTCACAAGATATTTAGGTGTGCACAAGTGTGGCAGATGAAGTCTCATTCTGAAGTCTACATAAAAAGTAAGTTAACAAGGAGGCACAATTTATGCCTCAGTGTTCTCTGCTGTGTCAAAATGTGGCATGAGCTAGTTGTTTTTTAATTACAATTTTAGCAAAACTTAAAATATATTTTTAAAAAATGGACTGTTCAACATTTAGGGAACCTCTGTAGAACCTGAGAGTTCTGATCATAGTTTGATACCCTCTGAAGCATTGGAGCCTACTGTGGGGAGAAGAGGAAGGGAGTGAGGACAGTGGGCGAGAGCCAGAATATAAACATTAGAATTTTCCAAGCCATTTACAACCTATCTGGTGAATTCAGACTTAACCTGGTCACAAACTGTCTGTCTGAGTCTCAGTTTCCCCGTTTTCAAAATGAGATGGTTGATAAGGAGTTCCAAAAACACCAAACTCAACGGCAATAATATCACCCTACATGCTACATAGTTCAGTTGAGAAAAAAAAATAATAAAGATTTTGCATCATAAACAAAGAGAAGAATACTCTCTCCCTGAGCTGCTGTTCACAGCACGCCACAATTACCAGAGTCATCATCGGGCTTCAGAGACTCTCCCTGTCAGACCTGGTGCACAATGAGGTATGACTGAACCTGCTGGCTGAGCAGTTGGTCTCTATTTCCCTTTTATCTTGACAGACAAAATTGAGTTGCACTATACATCTCATTTGACATGGAAAGTACTTAGAAATGTTGACTTTAGAATGACTCTAAATATAATTTTAGCTGGTCTTATAGTCATTCTATTCAACAAGCATATATTCTTGAAACATTTCTGCCATAGAGCGTCACGCCACCACATGAGTCATGATCCTTACATATCACTTACGTGCAATGGAAAGAACCTCCCCTGTAACCTGTTCTCTCTTCACATTCCCAGCTCTTTCTTGCACCATAAGGGGCCTCACACATGCTTACAGACACTCCAGTCTGCATTCCACACTCTGCCCATATGCCTGCAAACTGCTGCTCGTTAGGCTTGGGGTGAAGATCCAGGTGGTACAATCTGCCATTAGGAGGAAGGCCCCAAGGACTGCCCATGCTGTTCCCACTTAGTCAGGGAATTCCAGTGCCCTCAGTGTGGTAGGGTGAGGGTGGGAGTCTCAGGCTCTCGGTGGCATGTCTCCTTGGCACTCTGTATTCCATGCCCCATGAGGCAAGCATGGCTGGAGCAGGGCCAGCGACGGTCCTCTCAAGCATGAGACCCAGGCCAGAGACCCCTCTTACTCAGGTCTAAGGCATACACCGTAGCGATCTACATTTCGATTCTATAACCTTTAAAAAAATAGGTATAAACAACCTTTACTCTGTATGGGTGCATGTGCATGCCTGACTGTATACCCTGTAAAGACAGCTGAGTGTCATGCTGGAGGCAGCCCAGTAAAGTTAGGTGTCTAAGGGGCACTTATCCCTCCCTTATCAGATGGAGACAAGCTAAGTCATGTGGCCCTATGTTACACACTTACAACTACAACTATAGTCCAGACTTAACAACGATCGTCTTAAACTACTTTCTACCCAAAAGGCCAATTCCTTCAAGGAGCTTACAGCCTGATAAATAAAACTCCAAAATAATTACAAAGAAGATAAAAAGCAGTATTATGAAAGAAATTAATAAGATGTCACTGTGGAAACACTGAGGAAGGAAGGAGGGATTAACCCTGCATGGGGTACCAGAAGGGGGCATCTGAGTCAGGCTTTGGAAGATAAGGAATATATTAGTATTTCTTGTGGCTGTAAGATGTCAGTTTCAAATCAGTTAACTTGCAATTCCTTTAACACAGCACAAATTAAGTGGATTCCCAGTTCCTGTATGACATAACCCACTAAAAAATGTGTATTTCCAGGAAGTGGAATGTAGTCCTTTTCTCTTCAAGAAATACTAAAAATAAATACCAGTTCAGTCTGAAAAACTGTGATTCCAAGTTTTTAAATGTCACCATGTGTACAAAAACCAATGCATCACTATACTAAATGGATTTTTTCTTTAAAGGGAAAAATATAAAACAATGGGAAAATTTTTAAATGCATTACCCTATAGGAATCATATCCTTTACTATTGCCATTAAATTCCAACTATCCCTCTCTCAAATAAAATCTGAATTTGTTCCAGTGTCTTTCCCAGTTGCTAATGTTTTTCACTTTATGTCACCATAAGAAATATAGAGTATGCGGTACAAACTAGACACTGAAAAATCAGGTATTTATGATTGCCTTTCCCCTTTTCTCTATGAAATAAATTGTCTGGATTTTCCTGTATGAATGTATCAACTTTCAACAAGAATGGAATGTTAATTGATGTTACGCACAAGCTGGGCTATTATTCCTCAAATTTAATAAGCAAAAAAATCAAAACAAAATCCAACTGGGTTTCTTGTTTTTATTTACGGTTTTTAGTGCCAATTTTGAGGGATCAAAATAAAGTGTCTGTTTCAGTTATGGCTCATCCTTCCCTCAATTAGTGTACCCAAGGAGACCAGTTCCTTCCATCTGCTCCCCTGATGACTGTCCACATCACAAAGCCTATTCAAGCTTCTCCCCAGGGCCCCAAAACAACATGCGCAACAACTTCCTAGGGAAGCTGGAAGCCTACCTCACCCTTCCCACTGGGGAAACACAGGACTCAGCCCTTTCTGGTGTGATTATACAAGAATACAAGGGCTCACTTGACTCAGCCCAAAGCTGAAGCATAGCCTTTAAATACCATCGTGTGCCTTGTCTTCTCAAAAGCAATGATAGACGCTGGGCAAAGAGGAAACAAGCATGGTTTATCTTTCAACAATGGCGACGCACTCCAAGAAATCCTCTGCAAAAATTCTGATACCCTAGATAAAGTATATAATATTGGGAAACTAAGTGGTTTTACATGTCCAAGTTGTATTATCTGTATTTTGGGGGTGGGGGTGGGGTGGGAAAGCAGAACATTTTTGTAAATTGAATTTTTTTCTAAGGCATGTAAAAAAGAGACCATTCTCAGAGAATTTCCACCTCCCCTCCCGAATTTCTACTTCTCAACTGAGGCACTACTGGAATTTGGGGAAACAATTCTTTTTGTGCAGAATATTAGCCTCCTTGCAGCCACCTCTATCCGCCAAGTCATTGTGATGACCAAAGACATGGCCAAACATTTCTCAACAACACCCCTGACCCAGGGCGGTGCTGCCGCTCAAAGAAACACTGTGAGGCTTAAGGACAGGTCACAGGTGAAAAGTGACATACTGACCCAAGAAGAGTCTCTCTCTTAAGACTTAGTGCTTTGAAAATCTAGTGCTTTGAAGGCCATTTCTTAGCCTTCATGGAACCAAAGGGATTCTCCGCCTCAACCTTCTGCCCCAGATAAGAAGCACAGCAGAGGGACATTCCTTGGCTTTTTGTATCTATGCATGAAGTCACTGTATGTAAAACAGATCTTTCAAAAAAAATGGTTATTAGTGCCTACTTCCAGGCTCTTCTTTTTATATTTTGGGTGCTGAATTTCACAAAAATTCATCTCAGGAACAACAAACTATAAGGAGAAACAGAAGCTAACCAAGTCAATGGCTATTATGGTTTTGTGTCTGAAGGAGACAAAGAACAGGATATCATAACTGTCATTCTTTGCTGAAACGGAGCCCTTGGGTTTACTTTTTCTATTTTGGCCTGGATGAAGCCTTCACCCAGCAGGGTGGTGCTACTTGTTCATGGGTCATCCAAGTTCACTCTAAATTTAATTTCTTCTTCACGGCCGGCACCACAGCTCCAGAGGAGTACTTTCACACACCTGTGCAAGCACCCTGGCTGTTCTTCAAACCAGGATGCTGCAGACAGGTCAATGTTCCTGGTGCTCTCTCTTCCCTGACCCTGAGATGTGTTTCCCCAGACATTATACACGCAGCTCTGAAAATAGTGGTTATGGCAAAAAGCATTTGGAAACTTGTAACCAATTCCTTTCTAGTGGCTAAGATGCAACAGGCTATTTCTGCAATGGGTCATGTCCACAATAAGCCCAGCCCGGATGTGTCTGTAGTTGTAAGCAGAACGCTTTCTTCCTACCCACTGCTACATAAAAAAGTGCAAATACATTCTGTCCACCAAGTGCGGCAGTAATAACATTAGGGGGTGCACTGGGAGCAATCTGTCACTCAAAACAGGAAAAATAAGCTTAATGTAAGAACACTTTCTCACTCACCACTGAGGTAAGAGCCATCTGAAAACTATAGATGCGGGCAAGGCCGAAGTCAGCCAGTTTTATTTGTCCACTGCTGGTCACCAGGATGTTCTGTGGTTTTAGATCACGATGCACTACTCGGTGAGAATGAAGAAAGTCCAGACCTCGGAGAAGCTGAAACATCATATCCTAAATAAAACCAAAAAAGAAAATCAATACATAATCAATACAGAAATTCAACATGCTGAATCCTCGGCACTTAGAGAGTGCTTGGCACACAGAAAGCATTTGATAAATATTTGCTGAATGAATGAATCTGTCTCCCTTCCTATCTCTCCATTCTGCCATTCTCAAGATCACTACAAAAAATTTCACTGTCTACCTGTATTTTATTAATGAAAGGACAGTTTAAAAATAGTTTCAGATGGTATAGGAAATATCCTGGGAGAATATATATACCAAACTGGTGTCAGTGTTTAATGCTGGGGAGAGGAAGTAGGAGGTGGTGAGCGGGGGATACTTTTTACTTCATATACTTCTATATGGTTTAATATGTGATTTTGACAATTATAATCTGTGAATGATAATAATATTAATATTATTACTATTTTTTTTTGAGGAAGATTAGCCCTGAGCTAACATCCGCTGTCAATCCTCCTCTTTTTGCTGAGGAAGACTAGCCCTGAGCTAACATTCGTGCCCATCTTCCTCTACTTTATATGTGGGACGCCTACCACAGCATGGCTTTCAAAGTGGTGCCATGTCCACACCCGGGATCCGAACTGGCGAATCCCGGGCCATTGAAGCTGAACATGCACACTTAACTGCTGTGCCACCGGGCCGGCCCCATTAATATTATTTTTATAGCACCTAATACTAAGCAGTCAATATGTGTCAAACACTGTTGTAAGCACCTTCTGTTGAGTAACTCACCTAATTCACACAATATTGAGGTAAATAATATCATCACCCCATTTTACAGGTCAAGAAACTGATACACAGTAGGTGTATGTAATTAGCCTGGAGTAACACCACTAGCAAGAGACAGAATCTTGATTCAAAGAATCTGGAAAAACTGTATTCAAATCCCCAAGGCACTACTCCTTTATTAGATCAATGATCAAATGAGTATGTAAAACCAGGCAAGCTATTTAACCTCACTGAGCCTCAGTTTTCCCTTCTGTAAAATGGGAAAGTAACAAAACCTACTTCACATAATCATTGTTTGTAAAACACTAAACATTGTGGTCAGCATCCAAATAATGGTAGCAATTATTGCTATCCTTATTAACTAGCACGGAGTAGGAGGGCATTCAGAAAATAAACCAGTCACACGTGTTTCTAATTTTAGAACTGATAAAATTAGACAAAACATTTAAAACTCAGAAATAGTATCTGAAAGTAGGAATTTAAGACATTGATCATGATATGATCCTCTGAAATACTGGGTTACTAAGATTGATCTACCCCTCAAAATATTGTGAGAATGATGTGTACAAGGGAGGCTAAAATCATCTTGTTCATATAAGGGTGAGAAAAATGATTAGGCAGCATAACAGTCTCCCAAGCTGGCAGGGGCTGTGGGGACACACTTGTTCATCAGCTGGACCATATTTGTTTATTGGTTTACTAGACTGGTTCTTCCTTCAGAATTGGGAGAGCTGTCTTCACATCCCGGCTTGTTGAAAACAAAAGCCTTAGCTTTTTCATTTTGAAAATGGAGAGAATATTGCTTCCTTTTCATAACATTATGAGATTTAAATGAATTAATAGATGCCAAGGGGTAGTGCAGTTTCTGGCACAGTGTAAGTATTTAACAAACGATAATCATTAGTGTCCTGTCTCCTGGGGAAGACAGAGTCACACAAAACTATATGAAAATGTGGCCATTGCCATAAAGTCAGTGAACAAAGTGCTAAGCAGGGATATGCAATGACAGAGATGTCCTGGAATCCTTTTTGAGATCCACCTAAATGGATATTCTGAACTGGCAGGGGTTACTGTCTAAGTTTCTAAAGGTGAAAACTCTGGAGAAGACTGCACTGTCAAGGGACAGCCCTTCACAGCTTCAGAACCACTGCAGGTCAAACAACTTGCAATGAATAAACAGGAGTGCAAAAACGAAGCACGAAATGTTAGCCAAAGTAGTCTTCTGCTGGGGCAAATAAGTCTTTATTGGAAACATATGCACACAACTTGTAAGCACTGGATTTTAAACAGCATGACTAACCTAAAGTAATGTCATGCTGGCTTGTCATCTTTAGCTTCTTATACACTAAGCACCAACCATTTAAAACAGTACAAAGAATAAATCTGCTTGGTTCGTGTTTCACTGTTCAAACAACTTAAGCAGCCAATTTGCAGAATAAAAATTTTTAAATTTCAACTAATTAATAAGGCCCATCTAAATTTATAAAAAACCTGAACTACAGATAAAAAAAAATCTGTATTGCTTTTATTTGTGCATTTATTTATACAGCACATACTATATTTTTCTTAACCATAAAATTGGTGCATGATTAAGGCAGAAAATTTTTAAAAATTCCAGAGGAAGAGCAAAAATCACCCAAAATCCTACCACTCAGAGAACAGAGAAAATATCACTGTTAAATGATTTTTGTGTTTTTCCCATCTGTCTTTTAAAAATTACACATATTGCCATCTTTGTAGGTATAAACATAATATATATTTTATTTTAAAATAAACACTATTTCTAAATATGTAGTATTATTATTATTACTATTATTATTTTTTTTGGTGAGGAAGATTGGCCCTGAGCTAACATCTGTGCCAATTTTCCTCTATTTCATATGTGGGATGCCACGACAGCATGGCTTGATGAGCAGTGTGTAGGTCTGTGACTGGGATCTGAACCCATGAACCCTGGGCAGCTAAAGTAGAGAACACAAACTTAACCACTAAACCATCAGGCTGGCCCTAAATATACATTATTTTAAAAAATACTATATTATTATAATTTATATAATATAATTATAACATTATAATTTATATATTTGTAATATGTTAAATCAAATATCTATTATATTTATAAACAAAAATGGTTATTATTCTGTACACATTATTTTGTGGTTCTTTTAAAAACATTTAACAATTCATAATGAATATTTTGCTACTTCAACAAGACTCTTCTACAATATAACTTTTTTTATATGATTTTCAACGCCTGCATGGTTTTCCTCCCTAGGATATGCCATAATCATTATTACTTGGCTTTAGTTCTGTTTAGTTCTGTTATTTTGGATCTTATATTAACAGTCTAGTTCTTCTTTGTTTAAAGGCTACAGTAGATGAAAATGACTTATTAACATCATATCTAAGCAAAGTTAAGCAGTGCAAATCTGCATGACTGCACTTCCATGTAAATGACGTCTATGGAGGTAGGAAAAGTTAGTCCTACATAAGAATTATCATTCTTTAGATTTTATTAGGCTACTATAAAATGGTTTTGGTTAGCAAACTGGGTTTTCCTTTAAACCTACAATATCTAGCTATAATTAGAGTTTTGAACTAGTGATCTTCGAGTTAATGATTTAAAAAACATCTAGCCAAAAATCCCGTTACCTTCAGTAATTGAACTGTGAGGTAGGTTGATGAGCAGTATGGACCTGTGGTACGTACGTTTGGGGACTCCCCCCAGTCATCAACCATCATTCACTGGAACATTAATCTCAAAGGGGAAATATACTCAACTATGTCAGGAACTCTGGTCACAATAAAGAATAAGATATGGTCTCAATTCCTGAGAACGAGATGAATGAGTAAACTGTAACACTAAACGAGGTAAGAAAAAACAGCTTTTCTTCAGAATCACAAGAAGTGCTTTGATGAAAGACATTTCAAAGGATTCTCTACTTAAGCTTATTATCTGTTCTATCTCAATTTATAGTATCGTGAGACATAGTTTTAAACTAGCTCCTCAAGATTTTAATCTAAATTAATCTGTTTTATACAAGACTCAAATATTTCACAGTAATCCCAGTGATACAATGCAATGAAACTACAGATACTGCCAATTAAGGTTCTTTAAGTTAAACATAGGTTTACAATCTTTTTATGTTACAATGCACAATTCTGGTACAAAAGGTTTGAACATCTAGCCATACTTATGATCAGCAGTCACTGGGGCCCTCTCTGAAACACAGAACATGGAAGCATGCTTCAACAGGACCCCACAGAGAATGAAGTCTGGCTCCCAAGGACTTCAGGTGGGGTTTTGTCCTTGGCAAATCCCCTAAAAAGACTCTGGACTTTAGTCTGAAGACCAGAAATCTTTAAAGCCTTGTAATCATTTTTTTCAGGTGTTCTAGAGCTCTAATCCTCTTATTTCTTTAAAAACAAAACAAACAAGCAAATGAAAACCTAGCGTGAGCTTTTCTAAGGGCAAAAACGTTTATCATTAGGTCTTTTTTCCCAACTACACAAAAAGTATAAATAGTTCCAAAAGACACTAAAAACACCCAATTTATACCACACAGTAAATCACAGAAATGACAGGTTTCAATGGACAATTCTGGACATATCTACCTAATCTAAGCGATATATTCACATCTTCAAAGTTTTAGCAACAAAAATGTACATGAATAGTTTATCTATCTAAAAATTAAAAATAAGACACATATAACTTGTAGACAAGGATAATCATTTTCTCCCCCTCCTTACAATGTGTAAACCAGTCGTTTCAAATTTGTTATCCAAATGGCTTCACAATGATTTGTTGTTTCCTATAAAGTTCTTCTATCCAGTTTGTTTCCCATGAAGGGTGGGTGTTAGAAGAGTCTATAGTCTAAAAGAGATCACATTCCACACAGGTTTTTTCACACTAAACTGATAATATGTTGAGTTAAGGTAGGGGTTATGATTATAGAAGTGGAAGTAAAAGATCACATGAGTCTACACATAAAGGGTGATGATAAAGTCATAAAGAAAGTAGAGGACGACGGGTAACAATGAGGGCTAGTCCCAGGATCTCTTCATTTCCCCCTCCCCCGCAGACTCTCAATCATCCTTCTGCTTTGTTTCTATGAATTTGACTACTCTAGATACCTCATATAAGTGGAATCATACTGTACTTGTCTTTTTGTGACTGGCTTATTTCACTTAGCATAACGTCCTCAAAGTTCATCCATGTTGCAGCATTATGTCAGAATTTCCTTCCTTTTTAAGGCTGA